CAGATAAAAAGCATTTAAAGGGACAGGACGGCCAAGGCGGATGTACTGAACTTCACAGCCCAAACCTCTGATTGTTATTCCTTGGAAGATGTTTAACCAGAAAGGCACACTAATCATGTTCTTTAATGAGTAACACTTCCTGGCTCTTACTAGAGTCCTGAGCCAATGCTCATTAAGGCACTATGGGTGACCTTGGGACACTTCATCTCTCTGTGTCTCCATTCCCTGTCTGTAAAATGAGGGTAATAATGCTCTCCAGAAAGGCTCTGCTGCTGTGTGTGAGACTTGAGAGATCAAGATTCTGATCCCAGTAACAAGGATTGTGAAGGGCTTAGAATTTGTTCATGCTATTTAACCATTGAAACAATTTACCAAGGGATATGGGGATTCTCCTTAATATGAAGTCATTAAATCAAGACTGGACGTATTTCCAAAAGATGTGCTCTATCTCCACTAAAATTTACTGGCTTGATGCAGGAATTACTGGCTGATATTTTATGGCCTGTGATATGCAGGAGGTCAGATTAGAAGATCGTAACAGTCTCTTCAGCCTTTAAAATCTGTGATTCCGTGACTTCACTGGGTATTGGATTAGGCCCTAATTGTGGTTGCGGTGAAATGTATGTCTTTGTAATAGCGATGTCCATGTTTGTTATTAACAGGCCACATTACTATTTCTAGAACCTCAGATACCGAAAAGAAGTTTGTACCATTGCTAAGAATGTTATATAGCTATAGATATAGATTGTATTTGATAAAAAGATCAAGTGAAAAGTAAAAAAAAACAATTATATCAAACACATTTATGTATAATGTATATAAATGTGTATGTATTTGATAAAAAGATCTAGTGAAAAGTAACAAAATATAATAATTAGATCAAAATCTTTCAGTGAGTTAGACCTGACTGTTATATATACACACACATTCATGTTTGCTATTTACCTTCACAAGCAATATGGGTTTCTTCTACTCTGTTACACGATTGTTGTTTCCAAGGGTCTGACGGGCATTGCCAAAGGGAGCTGTGCTGCTTATCGCACCGAACACCATCCACCCAGGTGGGGCCAGAGCCGCTTCCATGTGTAAACTCTTTCAAAAGTGTCCCTCTGTCTCCACAGTCCAAGTGTTTGCATATAAGTGCCATGGTGACGGCATCCATAGGACTGTTGCAGACACTGCCCCAAGTCCCACTGTAGAAAACTTCCAGTCGCCCAGCACAATCACTGCCACTCACCAGTCTCAGATCTGTGAATTCTAGGAGGAAAGGCAGAAGTTGGGTGTGAAGGTTTCTGATTCTGAAACACACAGGGGGTTAAAGGCTGAAATCCCAGAGATTGCTAACAATCCTGCCCATTCTTCTCCAGAAGAATCAGAGACATTCTTCTAGAGACCAGTGACAGGCCCACGAGCAATGAAATTATTATTTAAAAGACACCATTTACCAACAGTTGCAAACAGTGGTACCCGAGATTCAGAAATCAATCTGATATTTGTAGTACCCCTTGGTATTAACTATTGGCAATGCTGACTTTTTAATGGTGACCACTGCAAGTGGGTAGGTAGTGGGGAGAGTGAGAGAGAGAAAGGAAAAAGGAGATAAACTTTCTGACATCCTCAGTTCTCTCCTCAGACACCCATGTACTTCATTAAGTCCCCTGATTATCAGACTCATGTGAGCATTCCCAGACCAGACCTGAGCAGAGAACTCCCACATCCTCTTTGTGTCTGCAGTTGTGCTGGCCCCATCCCCCGGAAGGACAGTCCCAGAGATTGGATTCGTTCCCAGTGCAGTTCACATCATCCAGCCAGATCTGTCCGGATCCTTGACCATAATGAGCAGAGGCAGTTGCATTGATGGCGTGTCCACATCCCAGTTGTTTGCAAACGACACTGGAGTCTGACAGATCCCAGGAATCATCACAGACTGTCCCCCAGCTGCCATTGTAATAAATCTCCACTCTCCCGGCACAGCGACCTGCCCCATTCACCAGTCTGATCCGCCTGCTGCCTGCAGGGATAGATCCCAGCTGTTAATGTGCAATATAATGATAACTAAACAGCTTCCATGCAAATCAATGACGATGCTACAATGGCTGAGATACTGAAAAATGTGTGTCTTTAACAAGAAACATAAAGAGAAGAAGTCAGTAGAATTAGGAAATGCTGAAGACTTTGTGAAGAAACTTCGGATAAAAAGCATTTAAAGGGACAGGACCTAACCCTGAACCTTTAGTCATCTGAGTCATCCTTATGGGACAGCTCTTGTAAGTAAGAACTACTAGTGACGCTAAAACTGTGCAGAATCAGCTCCTACTTGGAAAACTTGAACATTTTCAAACAGCTCTTCTAAGGATGAGCAAGAAATAACATATTAACTAACAAATTTATCAGAAATTCCAATTTTCTTTTAAATTCTTACAGACTTGGGAGGTTCCGGAGGCTTGGAGAAAATCAGACTTGGGACTCATTTATTTTCCAAATAAAGGAAGAAAGGCAGGTGGATACATGTACCTACGGTAAAGTCTAATAGACTTAGGGCTCTATTCTAATGCTGCTGAAGTCAACAGCAGAGCTCTCCCTGCCCTAAAGGGAGCAGGAATGGGCCCTTACTGTGCCATAGTTACCCTGGAACTGGAACGGGCATGAATAATGATTTCAGTGCAGTAACAGTACAGTGCATGATACAGGTGTTTATTAAAAAATCTGTTATTTGAAGAAAGCCATTGTTTATTTACATTCCCAAGACAAGAACCATAAGAACATAATAGCTGCCAGCCTGGGTCAGACCAGAATTCTGTCTGAAAAAGTGGCCTGTACCAGAGCCGTACCTTGACCATCTAAGCTAATAGCCATTGATGGACCTATCCTCCAGGAACTTATCCAGTTCTGTTTTGAACCTAGTTATATTTTGTCCATCACAACATCCCATGGCAATGAGTTGCACATGTTAGCTGTGCGTTGTGTGAAAAAGTTCTTCCTCTTGTTTGTATTAAACCTGCTGCCTATTAATGTAATCAGGCGATTCCTCGGTTTTGCACTGTGTGAATGGGTAAATAACATTTCTCTACTCACTTTTTCCACACCATTCATTATTTTATAGACTTCTATCATATCACCCAATGCGTCTCTTTTCAAGGCTAAACAGCCCTAATCTTTTTAGTCTCTCCTTGGACAGAAGCCATTCTGTACCCTTCAACATCCTTGTTGCCCTTCTCAGTACCTTTTCCAGTTCCACTATATCATTTCTGTGGATGGGGCAACAAGAACTGGACATAGTATTTAAGGTATGGGCAGACCATGGATTTATATAGATGCATTGTGATAGTTTCTGTCTAATTTTCTATCCCTTTCCTAATAGTTCCTACTATACCATTAGCCTTTTTGATCATTTCTCAGTTTTCAAAGAATTATCCAAAGAATTATCCACAGTGACTCCAAGATCTTTCTTTGGTGGTAACTGCAAATTTAGAAGCCATCATCGTATATGTGTCGTTGGGATTATTTTTTTCCAATGTGCATTAGTTTGCACTTATCAACAATGAACTTCACCTGCCATTTTGTTGGCCAGTCACGCAGTATTGTGAGATCCCTTTGTAACTCCTCGTAGCCTGCTTTGGACTGAACTATCATCTACAAGCTTTGTCACTTTACTGTTCACCCCCTTCTCCAGATCATTTATTAATATGTTGAACAGCACAGGTACCAGTACAAATCCTTGGGGTGACCTGCTGTTCATGTCTCTCCATTGTGAAAAGTGACCATTTATTCCTACCCTTTGTTTCCAATATTTCAACCAATTACTGATCCATGAGAGGACCTTCCCTGTATCCCATAGCTATTTAACTTCCCTAAGAGCCTCGGTGAGGGACCCAGTCAAAGGTTTTCTGAAAATCCAAGTACACTGTCTTAGCTGGATCACCCTTATTCATATGCTTGTTTACTTCCTCAGAGACTGGAGAGGCATGACTTCCCTTTACAAAAGCCTTGTTGACTCTTCCCCATCAAATCATGTTTATCTATGTGTCTGATAATTTGGTTCTTTACTGTAGTTTCTACCAGTTGCCTGGTGCTGATGGTAGGGTCATCGGCCTGTAATTGCCAGGATCAGCTCCAGAGCCCTTTTAAAAAATCAGCCTTACATTAGCTACCTTCCTGTCATCTGATACAGAAGGTGATTTCAGTGATAGGTTACATACAACAGTTAGTAGTTCTGCAATTTCATATTTGAGTTCCTTCAGGACTCTTGGGTGAATACCATCTGGTCCTGGTGACTTATTACTGTTTAGTTTATCAATTTGTCTAAAATATCATCTTATTACACATCAATTT